GAGCGTGGCAGGCGTGGCACTTTCTCGACACCAGAGAGGGTGCGCAGGGGGCGGTTTCTCACCGCGGCGTCTATGCGCGCCAGGGTCGGAGAGCGTGGCAGGCGTGGCACTTTCTCGACACCAGAGAGGGTGCGCAGGGGGTGGTCTCTCACCGCGGCGTCTATGCGTGCCAGGGTCGGAGAGCGTGGCAGGCGTGGCGCTTTCTCGACACCAGAGAGGGTGCGCAAGGGGTTGTCTCTCACCGCGGCGCTTATGCGTGCCAGGGTCGGAGAGCGTGGCAGGCGTGGCACTTTCTCGACACCAAAGAGGGTGCGCAGGGGGTGGTCTCTCACCATGCGTGCCAGGGTCGGAGAGCGTGGCAGGCGTGGCGACACCAGAGAGGGTGCGCAGGGGGTGGTCTCTCACCGCGGCGTCTATGCGTGCCAGGGTCGGAGAGCGTGGCAGGCGTGGCACTTTCTCGACACCAGGGAGGGTGCGCAGGGGGTGGTCTCTCACCGCGGCGTCTATGCGTGCCAGGGTCGGAGAGCGTGGCAGGCGTGGCACTTTCTCGACACCAGAGAGGGTGCGCAGGGGGTGGTCTCTCACCGCGGCGTCGTGCCAGGGTCGGAGAGCGTGGCGGCGTGGCACTTTCTCGACACCAGAGGGTGCGCAGACCGCGGGGCGTGCCAGAGCGTGGCAGGCGTGGCACTTCTCGACACCAGAGAGGGTGCGCAGGGGTGGTCTCTCACCGCGGCGTCTATGCGTGCCAGGGTCGGAGAGCGTGGCAGGCGTGGCACTTTCTCGACACCAGGGGGGGTGCGCAGGGGGTGGTCTCTCACCGCGGCCCCTATGCGTGCCAGGGTCGGAGAGCGTGGCAGGCGTGGCACTTTCTCGACACCAGAGAGGGTGCGCAAGGGGTGGTCTCTCACCGCGGCGTCTATGCGTGCCAGGGTCGGAGAGCGTGGCAGGCGTGGCACTTTCTCGACACCAGGGGGGTGCGCAGGGGGTGGTCTCTCACCGCGGCGTCTATGCGTGCCAGGGTCGGAGAGCGTGGCAGGCGTGGCACTTTCTCGACACCAGAGAGGGTGCGCAGGGGGTGGTCTCTCACCGCGGCGTCTATGCGTGCCAGGGTCGGAGAGCGTGGCAGGCGTGGCACTTTCTCGACACCAGGGGGGTGCGCAGGGGGTGGTCTCTCACCGCGGCTATGCGTGCCAGGGTCGGAGAGCGTGGCAGGCGTGGCACTTTCTCGACACCACGGAGATGCGTGTCGGAGAGCGTGGGTGCGTGGTCTCTCACCGCGGCGTCTATGCGTGCCAGGGTCGGAGAGCGTGGCAGGCGTGGCACTTTCTCGACACCAGAGGGGGGTGCGCAGGGGGTGGTCTCTCACCGCGGCGTCTATGCGTGCCAGGGTCGGAGAGCGTGGCAGGCGTGGCACTTTCTCGACACCAGGGGGGGTGCGCAGGGGGTGGTCTCTCACCGCGGCGTCTATGCGTGCCAGGGTCGGAGAGCGTGACAGGCGTGGCACTTTCTCGACACCAGGGGGGGTGCGTAGGGGGTGGTCTCTCACCGCGGCCCCTATGCGTGCCAGGATCGGAGAGCGTGGCAGGCGTGGCACTTTCTCGACACCAGAGGGGGTGCGCAGGGGGTGGTCTCCCTATGCGTGCCAGGGTCGTCCAGGCATTGCAGGCGTGGCATTTTCTCAACACCAGAGGGGGTGCGCAGGGGGTGGTCTCCCTATGCGTGCCAGGGTCGTCCAGGCATAGCCTCTAGTGCGGGATTGCGTATTACCTCTCGTATCCAAGGGCCAGGCGACGCCGGATATGACCGTCACAGATGACTCCTCAACCCCTCCTCTCCCCCCACACGTCCTCCCCCTCCTTTCAACGACAACCACAGGGGGCACCTAAGAGCATGACGGCGGTGGTAGTGGTAGCGCGGTTCACACAAGATATAAAATCAGTATGTGGGGTTCCTCAGTAGCGTAATTGGAACGCCTCAGGTGGCCTTTGTCTAGAGTGCTCGAGGAGACGGGCACCGTCGTGGACGACCTGTCCCATGTGTGACCTGGCTTCCGACCCCCCCCCCACTCCACAGACTTTGGCTGCATCCCAAAAGCAGTGGCCACAACATCTCCGAGGACTCCCTGCTCCTCCCCCCCGAGGCCCACGCGGGCCAAGACTCTGAACCGTGCTTTTCTGGCTTCGAGGTCTCGTCCCGAAGTCTTGGACTCGGGCGCCCGGGGCTGCGCTCGAGGAGGCCTGGCAGGACTCCTCGAAACCCAACGGCTCGGCTAGCGAGCAAGTGCTCGGGAACGGCCAGATCAATGATCCAGCCCTTACAGTCAACCCGTATAGTAAGGATGCGCGATAAGGATGCTAGGGCCTTGGACGCCCGCTTCGAAGCTTTTCGAGCGGTGCGCGGCCGACGAAAGTGGCGAAGGATGGACCGAGGAGGCAACGGTGCAAGGGTACCCTTGGGAAGGTTGCCCATCCTTACTATGCGGGTTGACTGTGTGCTCGGAGATGCCAGCGGTAGACCGGATTCCAGGGGTAAGCGGCTTCGGCGTTGCGGGTTATCGGCTGCGCCTCTAGTCAGTCATGATCCTCCCTCGTCAGGGCTGTCGTCTTTGGAGGTCTTCCTGGGGCTCCTGAATCGGATCATCGTGGTGAAATTTGTGGCCTATAACTTGTGTTGCTGACAACAGTGCCGTGGCGGATGGTTGGCACAAGAGGCTATATTCTCGGCCTACGGGTTCCAATTCGTCCACTCGGAGGTTGATTCATGATATGCTTCAGTCTGAGGGCCGCGACGTGTCGCAAATCGTGGTGCTGCAAGTGCCCTCCCACATGGAGGCTGACGCCCTTCCCCCTTGCGGGTATCCGGTGCTTCTTGCTGTTGGTAATGCCATTGGCGACCACGTTGCAAGATGTGCTGTCGATGCCGTCAGGCTGGATCCCGACAACAGGCATCGTGTGCTGAAAAAAGAAATGGAGGCGTCCCTTGTCAGGAGGCGTCTGCTCCGATCCACCCTCGAGGCGGTGACTGCTCGTCCTTCCCCCTCCAGCCCTCCTCCTCCTCCTGAACCTCCTCCTCCTCCTCCTCCTTCTCCTCCTTCTCCTCCTACTCCTCCTCCTCCACCTCCTCCTCCTCCTCCTCCTCCTCCTCCTCCTCCTCCTCCTCCTCCTCCTCCTCCTCCTCCCCCAGGCCGGACCCTCCTCCCGCCCCTTCCACCCTCGCCCTCTTCGCTGCCACGAATGTGCTCGGCGAGTGTGGTAGGCGTTGTAGCAGGTGTCGTGGTTGTGCCTCTTCGGGCACTCTTACTGAGCGGATGAATTCGCATAGTCTCGATTTGGAGCCTGCTGACTCTCATGTTTCCCGACTGCCGCGGGGGTGTAAGGTTCACCTGGGGGGCGGATGAATCCATCTATAGCATTCGGCCCTCTTCTCCTCCTCCTCGCCATCGTGGATTGGTATTTCATGTGTGCGTGCTTTTTTTATGAGGGGTGGGCAACTCAGGAAGAATTTGACCTTCGAGTGCTCTGGTAATATCAATCGTGCTAGACGGAGGTACCTCCGTAGCTTTGTCGCATGGAGGCCACCCAGAGATCAGGCGGCCAGCCGAGCCAAGCCATCCGCTTAGCTCGTTTCAGATTTGGATTTCGCAGCGAGAAGGGGCCGATTCCATTCCATTCCATTCCATTCCATTCATTTCCATTCCATTCCATTCCATTCCATTCCATTCCATTCCATTCCATTCCATTCCATTCCTCCTCACCCTCTCCCTCCCCCTCCCCCTCCCCCTCCTCTCCCCTCCTCCGTCCTCCTCGCCTCCCCCTCCCCCAACCGCGTCCACACTGCTCCCCCGCCGGCAGCCGCCACGCCGGGAAGGCCTGAGCGCCCCGCTCCGAGGGCGACGTGGGGGATCACAGCGGAGACTGGGAGAGGCGAGGCTCCGAACTTTTTTTTTTGTTTTTTTTTTTGTTTTTTTTTTTGTGAAACGCCTGGGAATGAAATCCGCTTCCCCTCAAGAGGGCTATCAACGACCCCAACGACGAGAGGGGCGAGGCTCCGAACGTGATCCTCTCCGAGTTGGCGCTCAGCGTGATAAGCCCAGCCATAGCCCGCAAGCGGCCCTGTCCTCTCGTTCGCCCCTGCCACCCTCGCCTCGACCCTCCCCTCCCCTATATTTTCTTCCTATTATTCGTATTATCCTTCTTGTTCTTCCCTCATCTTGATGAGCAGATTTTCCACCACCACCACCCATATGTAGGACGGGGGAGAAGTGAGGATGAGGAGGTCCTCCTGCTCCTCCTCCTCCTCCTGCTCCTCCTCCTCCTGCTCCTCCTCCTCCTCCTCCTCCTCCTCCTCCTCCTCCTCCTCCTCCTCCCCCTCCTCCCTTTCCTACCTATGGTAGTGGTGGTGGAACATGGGCCCGCCACCTCTTCCCGCCCCCCCCCTCTGGAAGTCCGCAGAGCAGAGCACGCCTCCAGCCAGCCCCTTGGGCCTGGAAGCCTCTGCCACCGGGCCCGGCCTGCGAGAACCGAGCCTCGAGACATGGGGGGGGGGATCTCGGGCGATGCTGGCCGCACTCGGGGGGAGCAAGGCGACACCGGCGCCGAGGCTCCCGGGCCCCCTCCCGAAGTGCGTCCCGGCCAAGGTTCTGCAGCGCGCCCGTGGGAGCGGGGGGCCAGGAGGACCCAGCAGGCGAACACGAGGACAGGCCCACTGTATCGTTGTCGGTTATCATTCGGTCGGGCGTGTCCTCCTACAGGCGGATTTCGGACGAACCATGTCAACATACCCTGAAAATATATAAAACTTGTTTAAAAAACTAGTCCCCAGACTATTTTCGGACTATTTTTGAATATTCCCCCTGTAGAGGGACAGGCCCGACTTCAGGTTATCGATGTGCTTCTATAAAAGGAGGTCCGGAGGTCCGCGTGGACCTCCGAAATCTGATGCGTCTGCTGCTTGCTCTTCGATCTGCTGAGCACACTTGGTTCGCCACTCACCTCCCGGTCCTCGTCGTAGAACTCGGGGATGGGGAAGAGCGGCATGCGGCTGGAGACGAACGACGGCGGTGGCCCAGCCGGCCTCACCTGGAGCTGTCACAGGGGACAACAAAGCATCCCTGCCTTCTCATTCTCTCTCGACCACTTACGTCACATCTCCCCCCGTTTCCCCTCGCCCTGTTTCGCTGACATGGGGACAGGGGGCGGTGACAGCAGGGGAAGGGGGCGGTTGTGGAGAAGCCCGATGCAACCAACGGTGGTAATAAGAATGCGCGGTCAGGAAGCAAGCCCATCGGATGCCCAAGTTGAAACGTCGGGCGCGATGAATAGCCAAAACTTAACCTAGTCTGCATAAGGAGGAGGAGGAGAAGCAGGAGGAAACCAATGAGGAAGGGGTGATGCGGAGGAGGAAAAAATGAGGGGAGGAGGAGGAGGAGGAGGACGAGGAGGACGATAACGAGGACGAGAAGAAGGAGGAGAAAGACAACGAAATCAAAGGCGAGGCATCGGCGACGTCGGCGTGAAGAAAATTGGGCTCCGCATCGAACCGCTGGTGCGGCGCGATCTTCCAGCCCCATCTAACCAGCAATCCAAAACGGGTCTTACGCGAGATGGCACAGCGACCTTACGCCGCGGCTTACGCAGGCCGCCAGCGCGGCACGCTACTTTGGAGAAGCCTGCGCTTACGCGCGACCTTACGCGGGCAACGTACGCGCGAATGTCGGCGCAAACGTCCCCGTATTCTTTCCTCGCACATCTGGATCTTTCCGGAAACCCTGGAGTAGCCCAAAATGTTGACACCTCGGCGGGGCGCATTTTTTCGGCTTTCGCCAGCTTCCGCTGGCCTTCTCAGCCAGCTTCCGAGGCCAGAGCAGCCCTCGTATTGCTGCCGCAGGCTTCCGCCGAGGAAGAGATGCCAACGTCCCAGACCCCCGACGCCATGATTTTGTTCATGACGTTGACCCCCACAGGTTTCGACTCATTTCCCGGGACCGCTCCTACATCCTGAGTCGCTTTCGTTTGACAGTCCTTAAGCCCGGCGAGGGCCCCCGATGGGGGCGAGAACGGTTAACAAAATGTCATGTTTTTTGTTGGTCAGGGCGCGAGCAGGTCTGGGGTCCGGGATGCCTGGACGGCGAGGCCCTCTCTCGAGCGCCCCACTTGGGGGAGGGGCCTCCGCGTGGATCTCCCTGCCACTCCACCCTCCATACCTTCGCGGAAGTCGCGGAAGAATTCATCAAAACTCTTGGAAGCCTCACGCAGTTCAGGGAAAAGCCTTCAATCATATCGAAAAAAGGGCGGCAGGTCAGGGTGGAGGGCCAGGAAGAACGAGGGGGAGGGCTCCTGGATCTGCGCCAAGCCCCTCGCCCTGGCGCGCGGAGCGCGCCAGGGGCGGCGCCGGAGGCGCCGCCAGGGGCTCCCATCGCCGATGCAACACATCGGCGCGGAGCGCAGAAAGTTTATGCTCATACATCTTCTCTTCGAGGGATAGGAGGTGAGACCCTTCCTGGAGCTCTCCGCTTGGGGTGCGAGGCCCTTCCTTCGATTCATCGACGGCTCGAGCAAGAGATCGACTGCGTAATCGATGTACCCAAACAAATGCAATGCTCCTCCAGCCTGCGAGAAAAAGGCACTTAATGTTTGCCGATCTAGCAACAACTTGCATACCCGTCTGAACACCCGACGGAAAGCACATCCGGGGTACATCAATTCGACCCCACGAGGGCGCACACCTTTCCACGATATGTTCGGGTCGGACGCACGCCGTTGCTTTATACTATACGTGTAACGTTCGTCTGGTCAGCGGGAAAGAATAACGTAGAACGTTCGTCGACCTACCAGCAATTTACATGCTCCCATGTAGGCTCGACGGAACACCAAGTTCGGGTTACAGGTTACATCAACTCTGTAGTCGATCTCCTACTCGATCGGCGAGGCCCGTTCTGCATCCTTCTTTGCCTTGTGCATGGCACAGTTTGCCGAGGGAGGAGGAGGGAGAGGAGGGAGGAGGGTTCTTCCTCCTCCTTCCTCCTCCTCCTCGACTCCTTGTCCTCCTGCCCTCCTCCTCCTCCTCCTCCTCGATTCCTCCTCCTCCTCCTCCTCGATTCCTCCTCCTGGCTTGGCTTTGCCCAACCAGCGTCAGCCAAGTGCCCAACCAGCGTCAGCCAAGTGGGGCTCCCTGGTCGCGCTCCGCCTTCAGTAACGACGCGTGCGTTCTGAAAAAAAACATTGTAAACAAAAAAGCACCGAGACCAAGACCTTGATCTTCACAGTGAGGGGCAGGGAGGGGGGGACAGGAGGAGGAGGATGAGTCGCGAGGCTCCGAATCAACTGCCTGGAGGCTCCAGATCAAATAACAAAGCATGAGGTCCTTCCCGGAGCGCCCCGCTGTGGGCGGGTGGGGGGGGCGGCCTTGGCCTTGCCGCTGGCGTCGGCGGCGCTGCGCGGGCTGCCGCCCGCGCTGTTGGCGCGCATCCTGCGGACGCGCCGGGCCTGGGGCGGGTGCTGCAGCAGACCCGCCGTAGGCGATGACGGCGACGGCGACGGCGACGGCGACGGGGGGAAGGGGTAGTGAGCAGTGGGAGGGGGGGAGGGGGAGGGCAGAAGGGCAAGCGAGGTGCGCCCGAGACATCTCCGACGTCCTACCCCTCCCTCCCGTCTCTCACCATAGCGTAGATCTCCCCTCTAGTCGCACGATCGGATGTCGAAGCGGTGTTGAAGAGTAACGCGTAGCATGACAAAGCATGGCGTGGCGACGCCCCAAAGTGTGTGGGGGGGGGGCGGCCCCAAAATATCAACGAATCGACACCGAATGTGTAATCACTTTCGATGGCTTCTTCGGGGGCTCATATTCTAGATTTGGGGGCCATTTGGAAGGACCGAAAACCGAAGCAGGGCACTGGAAAAAATGACGCCAACCCTGCAGCGGGAGCACGATTCGGAACGAGCGGAAGCGCGGAAATGAAGCCAGCGCTGCAGGAGCACGATTCGGAACGAGCGATGGCCTTGAAAATGAGGCCAGCGCTTCAGCGAGAGCAGGACTTTTAACAACAGCCCAAGAACAGACGCGTGGAAATGAGGACGCGTAGCCTGACATAGCATGACGTGGCGACGCAACAAGGTGGGGGGGGCTTCGACGCCCCAAAAATCAACGAATCGACACCGAATGTGGAATCACCTCCGATGGTTTCTTCGGGGGCTCATTTTCTAGATTTAGGGACCTGTCTGGAAGGACCGAAAACCATGCCGTGGCATGGCGCTGGGAATAATGACGCCAGCGCTACAGCGGGAACACAATTCAGAACGAGCGGAAGCGTGGAAACGAGGCAAGCGCTGCAGCGGAAGCACGATTCGGAACGAGCGGTAGCCCGAAAATAAAGCCAGTGCGTCAGCGAGAGCGGTTTTCGAAACAAAACTCGAGCGAAAACCCAACTCCCCGGAATCTTGTGTAAAAAACCGAAACGCGGAGGGGGGCCGAACAATCCCCGGACGCCACCAGGGGAGAGAGCATAGTAATATTCATGTTGTTCAATTGTGGCGGGGGGAAGGGTAGGGGAAGGGGGGAAGGCTTCTTAGGAGCAGCTTCCTTATCAGAAGCCTTCCCTCCTCCCCATACCACCCTCTGCACGAGGCCGACCTCGTCAAAGCGCAGCCGCTCCCGGGGCGAGAAAAAACACTGCAAGAACAGCGACCAAGTTCCGAAGATTCCCGAACGCTTCAGCGCCACGACGCGAGGCGGCCTCTCCTGAAGGGGCCCAAGGACACACGCCCCAGGATTCCCCGTCTTCTCCCACATGTTCTGGATTTTCGTCTTCCCCCCACTTCCCATGTGTTCCTATATCTTCCTGGGACTCGACGATTAATTGTCTCTGTGTCACTGGGCCCCGCCGCCCCCGGCCCGATGTGGGAGCATCCGCCGCGTGCCGAGCGGCGTGGCCGGCCGCGCTACACGCTCGGGGAGCGTTCTGACCCCTGAGCCGCCCACCCCGTCCCTGTCTTCCTTCGGCCACGTCCTTCCTCCCTCCTCCTCCTCCTCCTCCTCCTCTTCCTCCTCCTCCTCCTCCTCCTCCTCCTCCTCCTCCTCCTCCTCCTCCTCTTGCATGGTGGCACAGTTCGCTCCAACGGACCCCCCGTTTAAGCCTCTCATCGCCAGCGCAGTCACCCTCTGCCTAGCCGCCGACGTAACAAGCTGTTTCTCCTCCTGATCTCTGGCTTTTCCTCCCCCGACGGGCCAGGGATCGCAGCGGAGAGCGCGGCGATTTCGTCTCGGGGCTCTTGTCGCCGTCGCCAGCGGGCTGCTCTGGGCTCCCCCTCTCCGCGGGCTGCCGGTGCACGCGCTTCTCCGGGGAGTAGGGCGGGGAGACGGGCTCCCGCGCCCTCGTGTCCTCGGGCAGGAGGAGGAGGAGGAGGAGGAGGAGGAGGAGGAGGAGGAGGAGGAGGAGGAGGAGGAGGGGAGGAGGAGGAGGAGGAGGAGGAGGAGGAGAGAGGAGGAGAGAGGGGAGAGGAGAGAGGAGAGAGGGAGAAGGAGGAGAAGGAGAAGGAGGAGGAGGAGAAGGAGGAGGAGGAGGAGGAGGAGGGTTCCGATGAGGACGAGGGGCTCCGAGAACGAGGCACCAAGCCAGAAACACGAAAACCATAGGCGCCAAGGAGAGAGGAGAGAGGAGCAGGAGAAGGAGAAGGAGGAAGAGGATGAGGAGGAGGACGAGGAGAGAGGAGGAGAGAAGCCTCACAGATACAGCCCCAGCGGGTGGGGCCGGAGGACCGCGCCGCGCAGTGGCCGAGGCATCGGCGACGTCGGCGTGGAAAGCATCGGGCTCCACATCGAGCCGCAGCAGCGATGCCTCGGTCATGCGGCGCGGTCCTCCGACCCCATCTGCTCGGCCCCAATCTGTAAGACGAAGCCAGGACGAGGGTACAATATTGTGGGCATAAATCGAGAATCTCTGAGCTCCGACGGCTCTGGAGGATGTCTCGGGCGCCGCGGCCTTCTCAGAGCGTCCCTGAACGCTCTGAGAGCGTTCCAGAACGCTATGGACCGGATTTATCCTCGTCCTGGCCCCGTCCAAATATGGAAGGCCTAGAGTGAGAGGCTATGACATGTACCTGGAGGCCCGCGGATGCTCCCTGGAAATGGGGAAGCCAAAAAGTACCGATACCGCTACTTCCTGGACCTCTCCTGGGGTGCGTTCTGACCAGAATTTGAAGGAGAATCCAGCGGTGGCGACGAGGGCCTCCCGGAGGCCCCAAAAAGGGAAAACGGGCAAAGGGTAGCGGTATAGGTACCTCTTCCTCCTCCGAGGAAATCCCATCGAGCCGCATCGGCGATGCCTCGGCGACGCGGCGCGCGAGTCTCAGGCCCGTGTTTTAGGCGAAGAATTAAAACAAACACACCAAACATACCACCAACATGCTCAACAATGGCAAGCATAACGTCCCCAGACTATTTCTCCTATTTCTGAATACTCCCCCAGTAGAGTGACAGGCCCGACTTAAGGCCAGTGTCGGGGGCGCGGGCGCGCGAGGTGGCCGGACCCCCGGCGCATCGATCTTCAGGGGCCCAGGGACAAACACAAATAAACAGACACAAATCCCAGCATCCGCAGGTTTTTCCACATTTCCAACATTTCCTGGATGTTCGTCTTCCCCTCCACGTCCCATGTCTTCCCACGCCTTCCTGCGAATGGGCGGCCATTTGCGTCTCAATGTTTCTAGGCGGCGCGTACTAGGGGGTAGGAGGGGGGAATGGCTTCTTAGAGGGAGGCTGCTTCTGAAAACGCGCCGGCTTTACATCTACAGACAAGGCCCGCGCCTTCTAAGAAGCAGGGGTGCTTCAGAGAAGCCTTACCCCCTCCCCCTACCCCTCCCCCTTTTCTGCGCGTGGCCGAAAAGTGTTCGCTGATTCTTGGAAGTTCCGGGTCCCAGTCATCTGGACTTCGGCTGGGCATGTCCTCCTAAAGGCGGGCTTCCGAGTGAAAATAAGCAATATTCGAAACATGCTCAGATATGCCAGTTTTGGAATATTACTCCACTGCGCGTGGTTGAGTTTCTTCCATCCCGACGAGAACGAAACGAAGGTTTTCCTCCCCGCTTCCTCAGACGACGACGAGGACGAGAAGGAGGAGGAGGGCAAGGATGAGGATGAGGAGGAAGAGGAGAAGGAAGGAGGAGGAGGGGGAGGAGGAGGAGGAGGAGGAAGAGGAAGGAGGAGGAAAGAGGGAGGAGTAGGAGGGAGGAGGGAGGCGGGAGGAAGAGGAGGAGGAGGAGGACGAGGAGGAGGAGGAGGGGGGAGGAGGAGAAGGAGGAGGAGGAGGTGGGGTGAGGGAGGAGGTGAGTGAGGGAGGAAGTGGAGGAGGAGGAGGAGGAGGAGGGGAGGAGGAGGGAGGAGGAGGGAAGAGGAGGAAGAGGGGAAGGAGGAGGAGGAGGAGGAGGAGGAGGAAGAGGAGGAGGAGGAGGAGGAGGAGGAGGAGGAGGAGGAGGAGGAGGAGGAGGAGGAGGGGGACGGACGAGGTCTTACTCGGCCGCTGCCAGAAGCCTTTGGGGGCTCTCGCGCCGGGCCCCTGGAGGCCTCGGGCAGCATAGGTGCCTCTCGAGCCCTCCAGCCCTGGCCGGCAGCGTGTGCGCGGGAAGGAAGGGGGAGGACCCTGGCCGCCGCGGCGGGGCGCGGCTCAAGTCGGGGGGCACCAGATATGGTGGTCGAGTCGGAAGGAGGAGGAAGGGAGGATCGGGGAAACAGGAAGAGGTGGATGGAGGGTTTCTCCGAAGGGCTTGGGCGACCCTTCCTCCTCCCCTCTCCTCCTCCTCCTCATCATCTTCATCCTTTTCCTCCTTTTCCTCTCCTCATCCTCCTCCCTCCTCCTCCTTCTCCTCCTCCTCATCCTCTTCCTCCTCCTCCTCCTCCTCTTCTTCCTCCTCCTCCCTCCTCCTCCTCCTCCTCTCCTCCTCCTTCCCCCCTCCTCCTCCTCTTCCTCCTCCTCCCCCTCCTCTCCTCCTCTTCCTCCTCCTCCTTCCTCCTCCTCCTCCTCCTCCTCCTCATTATCATCATCAGCATCATCATCCTCATCATCATCGTCACCACCACCACCATAATCATCATAATCATCATAATCATCATCATCATCATCATCATCATCATCATCATCCCCATCCTCATCATCATCCTCATCTTCTTCTTCATCATCACCATCATCATCAGCATCATCATCAATCGTCCTCCTCATCCTTCCCCTCCTCCTCCTCCTCCTCCCCCTCCTCCTCCTCCTCCTCCTCCTCATCCTCATCATCATCCTCATCCTCATTCTCCTCCTCCCCCTCCTCGCCCTCCCCTCCTGTGGTCGCGTACGGTCCTGGGGGAAACCGTCCAGAGGAGAGCAGGACAGGACGGGGCATCCGCTTTAGGGGGTCAACGTCAATGCGCCCGCTAAGGTGCAGTTTAGAGCGCGTGCGTAATTCCCCTGCGTGAGTTTTATGCAGCAAGGACTCGACAGCCCTTCGACATCTTATCGAGGGAACTGCCAAGGCCTGCGCAGAGGCGCGCACGCTGCCCTCCACACCCCAAGCCCTCACCTCCCCCCCACCTCCACCACAGGCGAGCGCGCGGCCCGTTCGCAGGTACCCCTGTACTACCAGTCAGTAGCTCCCCGATGAAACCAAGGGGTGCGGCGACGATGGCACTGCTTTGCCAATGGCGCGCGTGCGAGCGGGTCTGTAATTCGCGAGCCACGTTTCTCTCTGCATCCTACGGAGGAGAAGACCGAGGAAGAGAAGTGAGGGGGGCACCATGCACTCCGAGATGCCCTCGCTAATGCGATCGGCGCTCCCTGCGCCAAGATAGATGCTTTCCGCCGAGCCGAATGCGCTCAGAAATGCACGGCCCCTGCTCTTGTTTACTTCACCTCGCGCCGCCTCGCTTGTCACTTCGTCTTGTCGTCGTCTACAAGGTCGTACTCAATACACTCAAAACTTATGTTGAGAAATCTTCCAGTAAGAAATTGAGACCCAGCTTCGCTGAATTTCTTAGCCCCCTTGCGAGAGCCAGCTTTGAAGCGTGCAATCTCTTAGCGCAGCGCGACGCCAGTATGGGTGGTTCCGATGAAGATTGTGCTGGTGATTATGCCGATTGCGGCGCCGGGGGCTCTGCAACAAACAACATACAGGAACACGTCAAGATCTGGGCGAGGATCTGGGTGATCTGGGGGCATATCCGGGGGAACAGCCAGAGCAACATCCGGGAGGCGATCTATGGAAATCTGTAAGAAGATCTGGGGAAGATGTGGAGGAAGATCTGGAGATAAATCTGCAGGAACATATGGAGGGAGATCTGGGCGAGTATTTGGATGAACGCACGAGGAACAAGCTAGAGGAAGATCTGGTGGTATATCTGGAAGAAGATCTGGAGGAAAATCTGGAGGAAGATCTCGACGAACCTCCGGAGGACGATCTGGAGAAAGATCTGGAGGAAGATTTGGAAAAAGATCTGGAGGACGATCTGGAGGAAGATCTGGAGGAAGATCTGGAGGAAGATCTGGAGGAAGATCTGGAGGAAGATCTGGAGGAAAATCTGGAGGAAAATGTGGAGGAAGATGTGGAGGAAAATGTGGAGGAAGATCTGGAGGAAGATCTGGAGGAAGATCTGAAGGAAGATCTGGAGGAAGATCTGGAGGAAGATCAGGAGGAAGATCTGGAGGAAGATCTGGAGGAAGATCTGGAGGAAAATCTGGAGGAAGATCTGGAGGAAGATCAGGAGGAAGATCAGGAGGAAGATCAGGAGGAATAATTCTGGAGGAAGATCTGGAGGAAGATCTGGAGGAATATTTGGAAGAAGATTTGGAAGAAAATCTGGAGGAAGATCTGGAGGAAGATGCGGAGGAATATATGGAGGAAGATGGGAGTGGATATGGGAAAAAATCTGAAACGACGATCCGGGTAAAGATATAGAAGAAAATCTAAAAGAATATATTGGGGTTAATGAGAAGGAAAATCTGGAGGAAGATCGGACGGGATGTGTGAAGATATTGATGAGGATCTGCGGGGTGATCTACAGAAATATCATGCAAGCTGGACAAAGATCTGGAGAAAGATCTGGAGGAAGATCTGGAGGAATATCTGGAGGAAGATCTGGACAGATCTGGAGGAAGATCTGGAGAAAGATCTGGAGGAAAATCTCGAGGAACCTCTGGAGGAAGATCTGGAGGAAGATTTGGAGGAAGATCTGGAGCATGATCTCGGAGAAGATTTGGAGGAAGATCTGGAGAAAAATCTGGAGGAAGAGCTTTGGAGGAAGATCCGGAGGAAGATCTGGAGAAAGATCTGGAAGAAGATCTGACGGAAGATCTGGAGGCAGATCTGGAAGAAAATCTGCAGGGAGATCTGGAGGAAGATCTGAAGG